TAAAGTTTTACTAACATTCAAACTTTCATAAGCTAGTACCTTAGTAAGTAGTAAGGAATTTACCTTTAAGAAGCTATACATATCTTCTTCATCATAATTAATATAGTAATTAACTGAGGGAATAGAGAAGCTTCCACCAATAGGAGGAGTAGAACGAGTATAACGACAGTTTGCTTGTCCTTCCTCCTCCTGGTCCAAATTTTCAGGGAAATAAGTGAGATCCTTTACAGGTAGCAGATTATATACCTGTAACAGTAGAGAAATTAAAGACAGAACTTACTTGCTCTTGTTTTGAAATATACAGTAAACTAAGAAAAGTATGATAATTATCCTTTTCTTGAGTACCTTCATGCTATTGGTACCTTAGAGAGGTTAAAAATTTTGTGTATTTTGAACGTTGTATTTTTTTTTAAGAATTTTACTTTATTTTCCCCATCACCATTTATCTCATCTATACCCTCTCCACCTCCTTAACAGTGTTTTTTGTTCTAAAATTGTAAAATCTACTTGGGAAAATAGTTCCATGGAATAATAGAATCTTAAATTACCAAGGACTAATAAAAACTTCACTGTAAAGTTTAGAAATAAAACTAGACCAAATATGGGAAGGAGATCTAACTTGCTTCTGTGTTGGATGACTAATCAATGCTCTGAGAAATTTAGGTAAGAACTATTGCCATCTATAAACTTCTATTTCTATTGAGCTTTGTTCTTAGATAGAACCACACAGGTACATCAATGACTACATATCATCTATAATCAATAGAACACTATCTACACAATTGTAAACACAGGTCACTTTTAGGAACAAGAAGGATGACAGAGGAAAGAACCCAGAACCTACAGAATGGAACTAAGAGGCCTGGATATTTATTCCTGGTCTAGAGTAAGACTGAGTCATATCAAATAATTTGCAACATTTGCTTGGCTGGATCTCAGAATTGCTATGGACCAGCAACTCCTGTGTGCCTCCTGCTCCTGCTGCCCTTTTAAAAAAAACAGGTGTGCCCTTTCACAGATGATTGATGACAGAGTCCTTTGAAAGAAGATGTGGTACATATATACCATGGAATTCTACTCAGCCATAAAAAACATGAAATGTTGCTATTTGTGACAACATGGATAGATCTTGAGAGTATTATACTAAATAAAATAAATCAGGTGAAAAAGGACAAGAACTGTATGATTTCACTCATATCCTATATAATAAAAGCCTACTATGCAAATCGACCGAACAGTGGAAGGATCAGTGGAATGACTGGTCACTATGATGCGCACTGACCACCAGGGGGCAGACGCTCAACGCAGGAGCTGCCCCCAGCCTGCAGGCCCTAGGCCAGCCAAGGCAGGTGCCAGTGGGGGCATCCAGATTGCCCCACCAGTCACCCCATAGATTGGCTCTGATTGCTGGCCAGGCCTAGGGACCTACCTGTGTACGAATTTTATACACCAAGCTCTAGTCTTAGATATAAAAAAAAAGCAGCAAATGAGCAAACAAAACAAACATATAAACAAACAAAAAAAATCTAAAACTCATAGATACAGACAATTATGGTTATCAGAGGGGAAGGAGGGTGGGAAGAGAATGAATTGGGTAAAGGGATCAATCACAAGTTGACAAAAAGAGACTAAACTTTGGGTACCGGGGGATCAGGCCTAAGCCAGCAGGTAGAATTCCTCGGAGGGGTCCCAGATTGTGAGAGGGTACACGCTGGGCTGAGGGACCTCCCACCCCCAAGTGCACAAATTTTTGTGCACTGGGCCTCTAGTAACGTATAATTTAATTGACTTATACTGAAAAATTCAAAATATGAATAATGTAGTTCTACCTATAGGTTAGAAAAGTAGCCTCTGAATTTTCTCTTTTTGCTGAAAGATTTCTCTTAAAAAACCCTGTTTGAAAATATTTTCTCCTAATACCAATTGTTAACCAGTATTTCACCTTTTATTTTTCTGAGCCATGTAAACCTTTTATTATAGTCTCTCTCAAGTCACTGCTCTATAAGGACAAGAGTTGTGATATGTTTACTGGTATTTTGCTAGCGCCTACAACAGACCCAGTACACCGTGTGCTGCTGCTGCTGCTGCTAACAGCAATAAATCAGCATGACACTCCAAATATTCACTGCTCTATAAGGACAAGGATTGTGATATGTTTACTGGTATTTTGCTAGTGCCTACACCGTGTGCTGCTGCTGCTGCTGCTGATAACAGCAATAAATCAGCATGACACTCCAAATATTACCACCATGAATTATATAATTCTAGAAAAAAGGAGAGACTTAAAATTTTAGTCTGTGAATCATCATTCCTGACAATGGTGTGAGAGGTCATGTTCTTTTTTAATTGAAAATAATTTGTGAATCATTTATTACCACTTTTACAGACCCCAAGTACTCTAGAGACATACACTGTTAGATCCATTGAAAGTTTCATGACATGCTTGTATTAATTTTATAAAATTAATTACTCCAGTGACCAAAAATGATTTAATTTGTTTTATTTTTGGTCAACAATGATTTTACTTATGCAATTTATTACATTATTTTCTTTTTTTGGCATGACCTATATAAGTATTAAATCTTAACAAAAGTTAGCTTTCATTAAGATTATTGTAAATCATGAGTTAACAGGTTTAGGTTTGATTCTTTATAGGAATGGAAGTTATGTCAAGGAGGAGATGGCAGTTTGCGGGCAGTTTCAGAATGACGTCTCAGCCATGTCACTTCTGGGTAAGCTGGCACAAGTCTCAACTGTTACAAACCTCAGTGCTTTTTAAAAAAACATTCTTTTTTAAAAGTACATATTTTTATTGATTTCAGAGAGGAAGGGGGAAGGAGAGAGAAATAGAAACGTCAATGAGAGAGAATCATTGATTGGCAGCTTCCTGCAGGCCTCCTACTGGGGCCTGAGCCTGCAACCTGGGCATGTGCCCTTGACAGGAACCAAACCCGGGATCCTTCAGTCTGCAGGCCCATGCTCTATCCACTGAGCCATACCGGCAAGGGCTACAAACCTTAGTTTTTACATCATAAAATAGGGCTGTTGCTTACTCTCTGGGATGCTGGAAAGAGTAAATGAGAAAATGTGTGGGAGAGCTTGAGATACTATATAATATTAGACAAATGGTAAATATTTTTATTATATTCTTGCATTTTACTCTCAACAGGGCCTTCTCTTTGCTCTGAGCACCTCATGCAGCCCTTTCTAACCCCTGAGGCTGAGGGAACTCACCGAGGACGGGGAGAGCTCTGCCTCAGGCCTCAGGAGGTGCACGCTTTGGTCCACTGCGCGGAGGGCACAGAGCGACTGAGGAGAAGCTGTGACTCGCAGGTGGGCCTGCGAGGCTGGAGGACTTATTGCTGGGTTGAAGCTCAAATCCACCTGCGAGACATGAAGGAACAGTCATCCCGCACTTCTGCTTGTGTCATCCTGCAGTGACCACATTTCTGGGTCATCCTGACATTTAGCTTTAATGACTACGCTGGGAAGCATCAGACAGGAAGGAACCTCTTTTATCATCTTGCCTTTGCTGTTGAAAGGCTGTGTTGCCCTAAGGAGGCAATGCAGGGTCATTAGGGATAGATGCCTTGCTTGAATTTTACTAGTAGAGGCGCATCATTACCTCTGATTCATAATACAGTTTTCTATTTGTTCTTCAAGTTTTTGAAACGTTTGAGTCACAGCCTCTTACATACCTCACACAATTGAATCAGTGGAATTGGGCACCATGGATACAAAGTTAAATTATGTTTTATGTGGAAGCAATTTTGTGGACTTGGAAAATTATTGTGCTAGCTGCCTGGAAACTTTTGGACAACTCATTTTACTTTTCTGGATTCATTTTTTTCCCTCTCTGAGGTTAAATAGGCAGTACCTATGATACCATTTATTTCTGTTCTTGTGATTTTTTTGCTAAAGGCACTCACCTTGTTGACTAGACAGTTTTCAATCTCAAAACTCTGTGAATCTCCAATAACTTCTCCATTTGGGAAAATGGTATAGATGAAAAA